TTTACTTCTGATTGGATGAAAAGGTGGCGCGAATCTTTTAAGCCAATCGCATCGTGTAGAAAGTGCAAAACCAATTACTTTTCGACACTCAAATGAAAACCGCTCTAATCCCCCGTGAATCGTGCCGGTGCGGGTCACAAACCTGCCGACAACATTTTTCATATTCACTAAGGTCCCCTCAACATATCTAGACCAGTGGCTTGCTTTAAGCACTAACTTCCCACGGGAGTACATTTGCTCCCTGACTGTCAGGGCATATTGATGCAGAAAACCGTTCAATGCAGAATAATTTCCCTTTGTGTTGACTAAGAACCCTATGGTTCATGGTATTAACTGTTCAGTACTTCCCGCTCACATTTACTGAGTATAGCTTGGAATACCGGGGGGTGGGGTTACTTGGGTGAATGTTTGCTTGGTATGTGCCACTGGCCTCTCAGAGCCCCTACCCCATTATAGTCTATACCGTGGCCAATTATAGACCCCATCTTAGTCACTTTTGGGCAAATATGAAATTTTCGCGATCCCAGCTTAGTCACTTTCTAATTTATAAATTGACCCATTTTTTAGATTCAATGAAGAACACTTTACTTTTCATCTGCAGTACAAACATTCTGGTACGTTTGCTAACCGCAGGAGCCGTAAATATGAAGAACTGTCTTCCGAAAATGTGCGACCACATTCCAGTAACTCTATTAAAAATGCGACCCCGTTATAGTCAATCCAGTCGTGAAAATGCGACCCCTTTCAGCTGCACATCCCCATTAGCCTCTTATAAGGAAGTACACCCCCGGGGCTTCGAATTCAAATACATGTTCAATTGCAAGTACGGGTCGTGTATTTCGTGGGACGTGTCCAGTTCAATCGATTATAAGTTTTTTCAGAGTTCTCATTTTCAATGGCTTAAATTCACACGCACCTCCACTAAAAGGTATGTTTCCTTAAAGGAGAAGGGAACGTTTGTGCGCGCTGTGAACATAAACGTTTATCGAAACACCCATGACAGCAACAATGACAACAATCGCGCTTGCTGAATTGGTGAACACACAAATTAAAAAGGAGCATGGCACAATCAAACACAAATATAATGACAATAGCTTAACAAGACANCTTGGTATGTGCCACTGGCCTCTCAGAGCCCCTACCCCATTATAGTCTATACCGTGGCCAATTATAGACCCCATCTTAGTCACTTTTGGGCAAATATGAAATTTTCGCGATCCCAGCTTAGTCACTTTCTAATTTATAAATTGACCCATTTTTTAGATTCAATGAAGAACACTTTACTTTTCATCTGCAGTACAAACATTCTGGTACGTTTGCTAACCGCAGGAGCCGTAAATATGAAGAACTGTCTTCCGAAAATGTGCGACCACATTCCAGTAACTCTATTAAAAATGCGACCCCGTTATAGTCAATCCAGTCGTGAAAATGCGACCCCTTTCAGCTGCACATCCCCATTAGCCTCTTATAAGGAAGTACACCCCCGGGGCTTCGAATTCAAATACATGTTCAATTGCAAGTACGGGTCGTGTATTTCGTGGGACGTGTCCAGTTCAATCGATTATAAGTTTTTTCAGAGTTCTCATTTTCAATGGCTTAAATTCACACGCACCTCCACTAAAAGGTATGTTTCCTTAAAGGAGAAGGGAACGTTTGTGCGCGCTGTGAACATAAACGTTTATCGAAACACCCATGACAGCAACAATGACAACAATCGCGCTTGCTGAATTGGTGAACACACAAATTAAAAAGGAGCATGGCACAATCAAACACAAATATAATGACAATAGCTTAACAAGACACAAATTCGAACAAAAGCAAAACCTGTAGGTCATTTTTAAAACAGCTGTATAGCAGACTCTAGCCTTGTAAGACAGTGAAACTTGGGGAGGGACCCGGGGGACGCTTCTCGTTATTTTTAGACCAAAATAAAGCCTCCGCGGCCGAGAAAAAATATATATGGTGAAAAGTCCATTTTGTCGCCGACAAAATCCCAGAAGTGAAGGTTTGGGAGTTATTTTGCTTCACTAATTGCTACGTTGCAAAACGTGTCTTTTTGGAAGAAGAGAGTTATCGACTGTCTGGGTCTGGCAAAGTTAAAATCATTATTTCAGAGCTAGTACGAAGGCAGCTGACAGTTAGGAGAGAGAAGATTCTGTTCCCTCGAAAAGAAAAAGATTTGATATTAGGAATTATTAAGTATTAGTTACAAAAAACTATTGATAAAAATTAACTGTAAACTGCGGCAGCTTTTCCGGTCTTTTTCGTGGTGGGTGTCTTAAAATCTCAACAGGATTTAATCTTTATAACAAACAAACGTGATGTACAAAGTCCGCCATTTGGCAAGAGCACATGGTAAGAGCCTACAAGTCCTAATGCGCATGTCGCTAGCGTTACTAAGCAACCATGCAATATCGAGACAATGGGTGTCCTGTATGCTGATGCGAATACTGTAATGATCACAGATCTGATTTTTGTCATGTGCAGTGGATTTCTTTTTATGTTCATTAGTGTTTGTATTCATCCCTCAGAGTGTCAAACGCACTCCATATTAACGTCCTTGCTATGAGTACAGGTGTGCATTCCCCAGCCGTCATGTGGGCAATCCAATAATGAGTGTTCATCTCCGTGACACTTCACTTCAGCCATCCATACTCGACCTGACCCTACAACATACTCAGACCCACTAGAGAAGGAAGCTGCATTAGAGAATCCCAGCTGACGACACACAACGTTAGTATCTGCTATATCCCAGCCATTATCGCAGACTGTTCCCCATTGTCCTCCATAGTAAACTTCCAAACGTCCGAATCTTTCACCACCATCAGCCAGGCGAACCACTGAACAACTGACCCCTGCCATTCTGTTGTGGGAGCAGTCGCTAGTTCTCCACCCACTGTGCTTGCAATTGTAAAGAAGCGACTCTCTACCGGAACAGTTTACCTTGTTTATCCACACATGGCCTGCTTGTAAACTTTCATAATTGCTGCTGACAGAGTGATATGCTCCGGAGAAACCAAGCTGTCTGCACACTACGTTAGCGTCAGTGATATCCCAGGATTCATCACAGACTGTGCCCCACTTTTCATCATAAAATATTTGAACTATTCCAGAGGAGAGTGTTCCATTTACAAGACGTACAGCACCAGGACCAACGGCTAAGGGCATGAAAAGAACAAAAAGGATCAAATTTCGCCATTTATTAGTTACCGCATTTGAAAACAAAAAAAAATTATGGCAATGATGATCACAAAACCAACCCCTGGAAATAGTCAGTACGTTTCGCATTCCCACCGCAATGTCACTCCAGCGTGGGCAGACTTGAATAACTGTTTTGTCCTTGTCAGGACGTACCCGTACGGTATAAGGATTCTTAAAGGTGCTTAAAGGTGCTCAGTCTTCTCAGCATCTCAGCAGTAAACAGTGCCCCTGAAACTTTGCCATGTTGATGAACTTCCTAACAATGAGAAAACAACCCTCTATGGCTGCCACTGACTTGTAATGTGACAGTGGGAGTGCGTAAAGATTCGAATAGTAGGGTTCGGTGTAGTGTGACGATTTCTCTCAGATGCTCTACAAGAACATTAAAGTTTTGTTAGCCCAAAGGCCATAACGATTTTGATCGACTAGTTTTAGCGCGGAAGGCCTTCAAGTTTGCTTTTCTCTATATCACTCTAATTCCGAATCCCACCCCCTAATGTAACAAAGTACGTATAAGTATTACGTTTTCTGGCGTGTTTTATGCGGAGAAACATAATATAGCGTTAGCCTTAGTAAGACTTTGAATGCTGGGATAACCCAGTCACGCCTCATAGCTTCCCCAAAGCCACAAGGCATCAGTACCTTGATATTTGGCCACAAATCCTGGGTGTTCATTATGTGTGTCGGATATAAATGTGACCAGAAGCTGGTTTGAAGAGCTCTTGATAGCTGCAGGCACAGAGTATCCGCTGTAGTTGGCAATCAGAGGGGAAGAAGTCGATCCGCCATCATACACGAGAACAATGTCACGTGACTTTTCTGTGGCGAACTTCAGGAAGGTTAACTCAATGGTGGGGTAAGTTTCCATTGACACGACAAATTTGAATTGTACAGCCATCGGAAATTTGAGCGAATCACCCCACTAGTGGCAGTTGTCTTCTCTAAAAGATTCGAACAGTTGGTAGCTGTTTCCACTGATGCCGGCGCTAAAAAAATAACAAATAACAACAACAACAACAATCAAGCTTTATTTACGGTATCACTTCATTAAAAATGCTCTTCCAGTGAGCCGTTTACATAACAAAATTTTCAGAGAAACTACATTAATGCTAAAATATATCTATATATTAAGAAAATCTATCCTATAATATTATTATATATATATTATTAATTACACAAAAATCGATCAATCTTAAAGGTACATTATATAACTAAAATAAATTTTATCTCAACTCCCTCAAGGCAATCCCTGGTTCAAGACAAAGACAGGGCAGACTTGAAAGAGTTGAGATTTATCTCGTCTTCTCGTCTCATTTTCTAGGCCATTTCACATGACTGCCCCCCTTATAGCTAAAAGCCCGCTTAGCAGCTTCAGTACGGGGCGTTGGTACAAAAATGTTCTTCGAGGCACCTCGCACGTTGTAGGAATGAACCCCAGAGGTTGGTTTAAATATGTTCTTTAAACTCTCAGGGTAAATTTAGAGATTTAAAAACACTTATTGCGAGCTGTTTAGAGCGTCTTTGCTCAAGGGTATCACATCTCAAGTCTTGGAGGATATC